CTATTTCACCCCATAATACTTAAGAATATTCATCTTTATGCATTCCATTTAATTTTGAAAACTTCCAATTATCCTAATTCATACTTCATATATTCCATGTTCTCACATTGTTAATGAAATGTTTTCAGCCATTTCTTTTCATTTTGATTCTTGGCCCATTAGCAAATGATGGTCCCCAAAGCTTTGCTCCATCCACATCACTAAGATTGAACCTAGTTTGAGGAGGTAGATCTTCCTCAGTCATATTTTGAGTATCTTCCAACGTAAGGAGTTCATCTCCACTATATCAGACAATGTTTTGCTGCTTTTCACAAGGATTTCAAAGGCTAATCCCTCAGAATTGGATCATTTACTCCCCTAGTCAGTAAGCTCCATTGAACTCTGTCCATTATGAGTAGTTCTGCTGCTATTTGAAACATCAGTAGCATAGCTTTCAGCATCACAGCAAGACACAAGCCACTACAGTGCAACAAACTGATGGATGTGTGGGAGAAAATATGGTAGAAGGCAAGAAATATTTTATCTAGGCTCCATGCACTAAGAATAGTTTGATATAAATCCTATGAGTAAGGCTTATTCTTTTCTAGTAACTGGCCACTTCTGAAGTAGTAGTTAAGTGGTAGAAATGTAGAGAATTCTGACCTGTGTTCTTATTATAACTGTTCAATGTCTCCAGTGCTTATCTCACCTGAAAATCCTCGCATCCATTCTAACCATCCTTGCTTCATATTCAGTCCTTTCAAAATAGTCTTGGGAAAGTTAATCCTAGACTGGCATCTGTGAACAAAGACAGAGTTAGACTCTCTTTAAGTAATATTGAGAAACTCTTTTGTCCTTATTCCCTTCCTTTATTGGACTACTTCAAGTTACTGTCATGATGATTCTAACTCATTGCCACCCCATGTATATCAGAGTATAACTGTGCTCCATAGAGATTTCAATGACTGATTTTTCAAGGCAGCTCTCTAGGGTTTTCTTTTAAGGCATCTCTTGGTGGACTTAATTGCCAACCTTTGGTTATCAGGTGAGTACATAAACTGTTTGCATTTACTTGGTGCTACCTTAATAAGTAAGCCCTTCCCAAAACATAGGGAAGTCTAGAATGGACATTGTGATAGGCAGAATTTTGAGAAAACACACAAGATTCCCACATTTTGAAACTTACCTTCTTTCAATTATTCTATCAAACACTGATCTAGGTGCTGATGTAATGTGACTTCAAAGATGTAATTAATGTCCTAAATTATTTTGCTATGAAATATAAAGATTAACCTAAATGAAACTGATCTAATCAGGTGGGTCCTTAAAAAGACTCTTGGCAGTGAGAAATATTTGACTTAAGGGAAATGTTCTGTTGGTGGCTTTGGAGATGGAGGGGGAACATGTAAAATAGATCTGAGAGTATTTCTAAAAGCTGAGAGCAACATTTGCATACCAGCAAGAATATGGTACCACTAATCATCCCACTGAATTTCAAGAAACTGAAATCTGCCAACAACCTGAATGAACTTAAAAGAGGACTGGGAACTCCAGATGAGAATACAGCTAGACTTTATTTCAGCCTGTGAGATGCTGAGTGGAGAATTTAGGCATTGCATCCAGGACTTCTGATCTATGAAACTGTGAACCCAGAAGTGGATATTTTAAACTACTATACAATCGTTGGAGAAGGATGTCATGCTAGGTAAAGTGGAGGGTCAGAGAAAAAGAGGAAAACCTCTAACGAGATGGATTGGCTAGGTGGCATCATTGATGGCGTCAAGTGTGGCAGCGGTAGTGAGGTTGGCCCAGGATCTGACATTGTTTCGTTCTGCTGTGCATGGGGTCACTATAAGTTGGTTCTGACTCGATGGCACCTGACAATAACAACAACATGTTTGTAGTAATCTGATACATGAGAAAACTAACACAAACACTTACCTCTGTAAACTATTGCATGGAACCTGAAGGGATAAAGAAATAGAGTTGAAGATAGATAGTTCAAGCAACTCCCGAATTGCATGTCATTTTGGTTAAAAGCACAGATTAAAAATTCTCTTCAAGCACAGTGTATTTTTATTAAACCAAAATAGCCTCAAAACAAACAGAATATCATTGAGATGCGGTTTAATCTAGAAAGAAATATACTTAGTTGGTATTTTTCAAGACAAGAGAATAAAAAAAATATACTTTAGTCCTTCCCAAGATGGGAGCAAGCCCTTATTGGAATCAGAAAGCAATAAGAGGACTTGGTATATTTAGAAAAATTTTGTTTTCCAAAGACTCATCCAATTTACGGTATCTTGTTCCCATTAAACAGTGAATTTAACGTCTTAATGTATTCATTTAATGAGTGCAAATTGCTATTGGTTTGCATTTCTTTCCTCTATACCCACAATTCTGCAAAAATAACTTCCTATTGAGAAGTCTGTTGCAGAAATTGACAGATTATTGCAATCTACATTTTCATTTTGTTCTAACTGTATCACTCATTTATGAAAGTGTCGAGGGTTAATTTTTAAATGTCTTTTAAAAAACTGTGAAAAAATATAATGTAAAAAAGTTTGGCATTCAACATTTTTTACATGTATAATTTAGTGGCATGAATTACATTCATCATGCTGTGCAACCATCATCACTATTCATCTTCAAAATTTCCCATCACCTGTAAGAAAAACTCAGTACCCCTCAACCAGCAACTCTTCTTTTTCTCACTCATACTTCAGGTAAACACTGTTTGTTGTTGTTACATGCCATGGAGTCAGTTCCAACTTATAGCAACCCTGCACAGGGTTTCCAAGATTGTAAATCTTTATGGGAGCAGAAAGCCTCATCTTTCTCCCGCAGAACAGTTGGTAGTTTCAAACTGCTGACCCCGAGGTTTGCAGCCTGATTCATAACCACTACACTACCAGAGCTCTAGTAAATCGATTTCAATAGTTAGCGATTTAAACCCATGTTCGTTGAATTTAGTGGAACGTTCTATTGTCAGTCTTATAAAAATTTGTCTTATAGTAAAGATTAATAATATGGATCAATACAGTGGCAGCAAAAATGGGCCCAGATGTAACAATAATTGTAAGGATGGTACAGAACAGGCCATGGTTCATTCTGCTGTGTGTAGGATTACTATGAGTCACAACCTACTCAACAGCACCTAATAGCAGCATATGTTTACCAGTGGTTTTTCACTGTTATCAATGAAATCCTTTTTCACAGGGAGCCTCACACAGAAGCATACTATACAAAACAGACAAAAGTTGAACTTGTCATCCAGCTACTTGTGCATTCAACAGCTAGTCTACATTTATCCCTATATGCAAAGAACCGCCAGAACGTAATGGTAGGGCTTGCTGTTGTTAAGTGTCATCGAGTCAGTTCCAACTCATAGTGACTTTATATATGAGAAAGACAAAGTGCCCACTACTACTCTCACAAGTAATTTTTATAGTCTGAAGGTTGCTGGTCAACTTTCTGAATCGTGACCAGCATTAAAGAAAAAAAGAATCAGAGTACCTTTTCCACAGCAAAGCTAAGTATGTTTCATGAACCTTGTATCCCAAAGCATTTCAAACAATACTTCTTCCAGTGAGATATGGGTCAAAATAGAAAACCACTGACAGTTTAATATAAGGGTAGATGATTACAGAATTTAAAAATAAATAAATAAAACACTAATGCCATAAAGAAGAGGTAGGAAAGATGATGAAGCTTATACTTGAGTTGTTGCTGTTAAGTGCCATTGAGTCCCTTCCAACTAAATAGTGATCCTGTATAGAATTTCTGAGAGTGGCTGGTGTGTTGAAATCACACTTGCAATTAGCAGTACAGTGATTACCCTACAGGAGTTTACCTCCCCAAGGAGTCTGGAAATGCTTAACTTCTCTGAGGAAGTTAACTCTGAGAAGACAGGAAGTGGAAGGAGGTAGAAGAAGAGCAAAGATTCTCTTTACTCTCTGAGGTAGTTTTAATTAACCCCTAATATGAATTTCCACCAATTGATCTATGAAAGATGAGGCTTTCTGCTCCTACAAAGACTTACAGTTTTGGAAATCCTATATAGGGTTGATATGAGTTGGAACCAAATCAACAACATTTAACAACAGCAAGAAAACTCGTTTCAAGAGATAATTATGGGTAAGGTAACAGCTAAATGAAAACCTGCTTTCTTCTTTAAAGAACTTGTAGTTTTAAGAGAAAGCAATTACCATAAAGCAGATCCCGTTTCTTTCTGTTACTTAACAATATGTTAGGAGCTACTGAGTCTGTTCTTACTCATAGCGACTCTATGCACAACAGAATGAAACTCTGCTATCTTGAGCCATCCTTAAAATTGTTACATATGAGCCCATTGCTGTTCTCATTTGCCAATCCATTTTGTTGGGGATTTTACTCATTTTCACTGGCCCTTCACTTGACCAAGCATGATGTTCTTCTCCAAGGACTGGTCCCTCCTGTTAACATGTCCAAATTATGAGAGATGAAGTCTCACCATACTGGCATTTAATGAGCTTTCTGGCTGTATTTCTTCCAGCACAGATTCGTTTGCTGAGCAAATAATCTGAGAAAATGGATAATATGAAGAAAAACATGGTCTATGATCTTTACCAGTATTTTCAGTCCTCTTCACTTTCAGAAAGCAAGGTTGTACGTTTGCATATCACATATTGTTAATGAGTCTTCTTCCAATTCTGATGCCACGTGTTTTCTTTTTCTTTTTTTCTCATATAATCCACTTTCTTGGATTATTTGCTCAGCATACCATTGATGAATAAGTATGGTGAAAGAATACAACCCTGAATCACATCTTTCCTGATTTTAAACCATTCGGTTTCCCCTTGTTCTGTTTGAATGACAGCCTCTTGATCCATGCACAGGTTGTTG